ACCCAATGTCATACCGTGTCTTGATTCCAAACAGAGAGCAAGTAGAAATGTTAACTGTGCGCTTGGAGGTCTTCTATTCCGATCGTTGGAAGAAAATAGAAGAGTTGTATTAAAACTATTTATTAGAGTGAATGTATAATGGGAGAGGGCCAATGGCGAAATATTAAGCGAAGTTAATTATGCAGTCTGTATATAGGGTGATGAAGGAGAGTTCTCCTTCACCTCTGGTATGTGCAGTACGCATATAGGAAAATGTATTTAAGAATAAGTGTGAGTTTTAATAGGTGTTTAGATACAAAACTTGCGTCCAGCTAACGATAGCACCGGAACCTAACTTGGTTAGGAGATAGAAGAGTGAAGTTAGCCCCGGACTTCCAACACAACCGAAATGAAACTTGGCACTTTCTGATCACTTTCGGTTTGCCAACCCTCGCAGTTTTGGTCTGTAAGACGAGTTTCGGTTTTTCACTATCACCAGTGGTGGATTTGTGGGAAGAAAGAAGGCCAAAAATGGTCAGAAACGACCAATCTATACGTATCACGCTAGTTTGAAATAATTGTAATCGCCAAGTTTTTCTTTTTGATTTTTGACTGTAATTTATCTTTATTAAGAAACTCCATTGCATTGTGGGAATGAGCCGTGAATTTCCTTTTGTCGGTAAAAGTGATTTTTTTTTTTTTTTGTTTATGCTTATTTACACTCATTGTCGAAACGCCCGTGGGACTCCGTGAGATAGACAGTGGCGTTTTCTCCGCCGTTTTCGGTGTGTCCATTTGCCCTGGAGATTTCTCACGTGTTATACAATAGAGAAGATAAAACAAGTGTGGATGTCCTTTCTGTTCTACACTTAAGGACCTCGTCTACTTTCTACAGTTGGGCGTAAACTTTTCTTCCTATTTCCGCAATTTTACACAAGAACGTCAGTGTGGATGATCTTTTATGGCTGGGACGAGAATAAAATTATTGTTACGTCAGTTAATTTGAATGATAGCTAAAAAATAGTAAATGCGAATTATTAATATTCAATATATTTCTGTTTCAGGTAGAGCTGCCGCTGATAATCATAAGCTGGTAAGATATAAGTTATAAACTGATAGTATTAAATAATTATAATTGAATAGAATATATATCAGGAATAAGTAAGAAGCACGAAGTTAAAAAATCTATTTTGGAAGATAGAGATCCAAGTTTGTTGTTCTTGCTCAAGGACATTCTTCCCCGTACCTACTATCTTATCAAAGCTTCCTTATTGACCGGTACTTCCGAGACATCCAAGGGTCGGCGTCATCCCCAAACTACCCTACTTCAGGGCAGTGTTCTGGCCCCCGTACTGTACCAGGTTACCATAAAGCTCACCTCTCCATCCTCTGATCTACTGGAGTCAAGGTGTGAAAAAAGAATACAAATTAACCCAGAAAAATCCACACGGAAAGAAATTATGAAACATTACATTGTTCTTTCACGACTTTTTGATAAATTACCTCTTTTAAAAGGCTGCTTCGAAACACTATTGCGAAGCCATATGGACTTACGGGCTGGAAATGTAGTATCAGCCAAACATTCCAATATCCTCCGCATCTAAAGAGCTACGAATGTCGAACACAATTACCCATATAATATTCCTTTTGTCAATGATGTAATCACTCCTGTTATCGGCAATTTCATATAAACCTCCCAACCACCATACATCACCGATTACAGAAACTCCCGACGAATTGCCTACAACCCTCCTTGCCGATTAAAAATACGATGGCCGCGCGACCTTCTTTCCAGTGATAGTGAAACTATCCTCAATTAAGTTGAGAACAACTAATACCTATAGGAGTACTGGCAATGAGTAGTTTCTCCAGAGGAAGATTGAGATGGGAGCGCGAAAAAAATGGGATTTTTCAGGGTTTTTTTTTTTTTTGCCAATTTGTAACTCTTTATAAAAAATATATTTTCCGAGTTCAAATATTATGATCATCAACAAACATTAAGCAGGTGCACAAAACTTCATTAAAATTGTTCACGGTGGTTCCGAAAATAATGGCACCGAAAGGAAGCCAATTTTTTCAATTAGATAAGGTAGAGGCAGTGACCTCCATACAACACCACTAAGAATCTACCATATTTGAATTTTATGATGTAAACAAATCTTTTATAGGTCATATCCAAGCCAGATTTTTCACAATCTAATATCTTTATTAATATATTCGATCTTTGCCGAGATATACAATGTGTTTGACAAAATTCAAAGCCTGATGATACATATTTTGATATGGTTGGCATGTTTAATGAATAATGGATATAATTCGCTCTACCCAACTAGTGAAATCGCCAATTATCCTCAGAGCAACACACTTGCATCTTATTGTACATTTTTGCAAACGTCTGCTAAAAGAGACTCAGGATGGCTCCAGTAGCTTTATCACATTGAAGTAAAATTCTTTCGGACAAAAGAAGAAGAATGTTTTTGAGGAGTTCGTAATTCAAAATTGAGAAAAGTATCTTTCCTAGTTCTATTGATCGACCGGGACTGGATTATCCACCAAATCCTACGATGAATGAGACAGCCGTTAACAATACAATGCCAAGGATAACGGATTTTGCTATCCTTCCTAGTATTTTTTTTCAAAAACTAAATATGGATGAAACAGTTAACTTTTAATAATAAATAAATTTTGAAAAGTTTTATTAGATGAATTACTGAAGAATCGAATAGAAAACAAGAAGATTTATGGGATTAGTTATCAAACCCTATTACGAACTATCGTGATCTAAGGATTCTTCGATATTTATTTTTAATGTTTAACATACATCGCATTTCTGTTGGCTGTGATACGAGAGAAAAGTTGTAAAGTAGTTCCCAAGAAAAATAATTAATTAAACGAGAAAACTAATTATTATTATTGCTTTTCAGAATACATAACAGGCGGAAGGGCGGATTTCAAAACTGAAGTATTTTCTTTATTACGATACCTGTTCTTTTTGTTTTATCCTTGCTTTATTGTATTTAATTTGTAAAAAAACCGGCAGAGTTGTGAACTAAGATCAAAAGGAGGGAAAGTAAACCTAATGAAGCATTTTATTCACTTTCTTCGATAGGCTTTTCGCTCTCATAGTTGTTAACTACGAGGAATATAAAAATCGTCTAGGGACATAAACGAAAAAGGGAAAATAATTACATATAGACATCAAACACATGCCTTACGAAATGTTTAGCTCTTTACTTAGAAGTAAGTAATGGTACGTTTTCAGATGCAATAAATAGGCTATAGTCCGGCAGACGGTTTTATCCATGCCGTTATTTTTATGTTAAGGCATATGTTTTGTTTTTTAAACATTTTTTGTACTAATCTTGAAATTGTGGGTTTTTTGATTAGCAAATCAAAATTAGATTCGTTGTCCAGCTTATTCAGGTAAAAACGTGTTTTTAAATCTAAACTAGGTGTTGGTTGAACAAGCCAACAATCAACTTCCAATCTCAACCTCATAAGGTCCCTCCTGAAAAATGGCCAAAAGGAGGGAAAACTCATAAGGTGGGATTGAGATAGGAAGTTGATGTCCGAGTGGATCGAGGTCACGATAGCTCAAGTGGTAGAGCAGCGGCATATCTAGCCGAAGATCGTGGGTTCGAATCCCGCTCGTGTCATTAACTGTTTTTCATCTCAACTAAAAACCTTAATTAATTGTAATGTATTAATTGGTCAAGCGGACCACAAAATTAGTGAATTTAGTAAACACAGTATTTAATTTCAACTTATTCATTACATAAATTTTGGAAAAGGTAGTTCTGTTCAAAGAAGTTTTAGTCAGCTATCCGGATGTCGAGAAATAAATACTCATCACGTGTTCGTATCTGCTGCCTGATGATGAGTATATTACGAGAAATCCGGCTAGCTGCCTAACACTTCTATGAGTATCACCCAATCATTTCTATACATCGGTCTATAAAACAATAAGTATATAACATAATTATGTAAGCATAACATTGTAATAGTATTAAAAAACGCTAAGCACATAAAAAAACGCATTTTCTTCACTTAACGAAAAAACACTGAGTCATGAATATGTAACTAAATCGTTCATAACCATAACCCTGACTAACCAAACCCTCACCGTAATCCATCCGTAACCCTCACAGCAATTTATCCGTAACCCTCACCGTAATCTACCCCTAACACTCGCAGGAATCCATCCCTAACTCTCGCCGTAATCCAGCTCTAACTCTTACAGCAATCCATCCCTAATCCTCTCCGTACACCATCCCTACCTTATCGTAATCTATCCCTAACCTTCACCGCAATCCATTCCTAACCCTCACCGTAATTCACCCTTAACCTTCACCGTAATCCATCCTTAACACTCACCGAAATTCACCCATAACCCACACCGTAATCTATCCCTAACCCTCACCCTATTCCATTCCTAACACTAACCTAAAACTTTTATAGTGAAGGCAAATAGTTTTCAAGTGAGCAACACGACACTCAAGACTGAAAACAAACCCTTTGAGCCCTGAAGATGATCTCAATAAAGATCGAAACGTTGACACAACAAAGAAAATGTTTTTTTAAAACCTACGTCACACCAGACCGCATCTCACGATTTCCAAATAATCTTTAGAAAACTGTTAGGGTATTTTCAACTTATTAAAATTATGATTTATTTTTGTATTGTTTTAAGAATCATAGAGATGTAAGTTTTTGAAACTGGTCCAAACACTGAAATTTTACATTGCTAAATGAAGCAATATTTCAAGATAATAAGAAGAAATGCATCCTAGCACACTAATACAAAAGAAGTTATAAAACAGCATATTAAAATGATAAGCATTAAAAAAAGCACTTGTGAGCTCTCAATTGATCCAACCCAATAACCACGACAAATAAAAAATCCTATTAAGATTTAATGTAAGCCAAAATTAAGACAAAGGGAAAGGTTTCGGCGTGTTTAGAGAGCGTCACTGATCCTTCATGCGTTGTTCTCAACGGCAAGCCGAGCCGACGAAGAAAACATACGAAAGAGAGACATGCACTCGGGTCTGAAAATCGGCACGGGTTGGAAAGCATGGAATGTGGGCGATTCAAGTGCAAGGCCGAAATTATCAGTCCGTGTTATCCCCAGGTCTTGGGCAGAATCTTTGATAATCGTCCGGGGTGGAAGGGGGCTCGTCCAGGAGGAGGTAGACGTACCGCGATCAGTCTGTGTTGACGGTTTGCACGTGGAAGACTCCCGACTCATGGGATACCGGTATAAGGTAATGCAATTTTAATATTTTATTGTCACTTTTCATAAATCGCTTCCGTTCAAACGAAATTAATAAATGAAATTTTACACCACCATACCAATCATACAACGTTTTTTATGCTTCGTATAATACGACATCAAACTCTAAAATCAATTAACCCGATATTGCCAGTAAAATCCCAACTATTTGAATAAAAGTTACACAAATTATTCAAAATGCACATTTTTTCACAATTTTAAGCGAATTTCAACGAGATATTTCCAACTTAATGAGTTTTACACCTCGGTAAGACAGTAAGTTGACTGTAACGTTTATTCTTGATAAATTCCCGACTATTTCACAAATTAGAAATGGCCAAGTATTTTTCGCTTTCTAAACATTTATAACACAGCGGAAATAGTTCTAATTAGAAATGTAAAAGTTAATTAATAACGTCTGTAGGTGCAAATAGTCCAAAATGATATCGATTAATGATCAAGTCAATTATCTAGTTCAATCAACATCAACATTAACCCATTTCTATGCTAAATAATAAACTTTTTTTATTTCTTCCTTTTTTTGCAAATCTTAATACATAAGTATAGTTAAATATATAAATGTAACGTAGTAAAACAAGAAGAGTCTTTTTAGTTTTTGTATTGTACTTTACTTTTGGAAAAACACAGATAATTACCAAAGTAAAATATAATACAAAAACTAATAACACCATTCTTGTTTTTATAAAATAAATAAATTAATTGAAGAAAGAACACAACTTTTCATTTAAAGAAAAACATTTACATATGGAATTCAGGCAGACGAAGAATGGGATTTTAGAATGGAGAAATTAAATAATGAATTGGATATGGAATTTTATGTCATAGACCTGTGCTAGGTCTCATTTTTTTAGAAAATTTGACTCTAAATAAGAAGTCATTTTAAATGTTTTCCTAGCTTCAGTCATCCATCAGTAAATTCCAAAATTCGGGAAGATGTTAATTTTTGGACTTTTTACTAAAATTTTGAATTGAACTGTGGAGCCAGGAAATCTTTGGAGCGGCGCCCTATAGCAATCGATAGGAAATTAAAAAAATAAATAAAACCAGGTGGTCGTTTATTTTATTTATTTTTTGATAGGCAGTGTATACTACGGAATATACGTATTTTCTCGTGATTCGAGATTCGCTGTATTTAAATTTTATTATTTCTTTCTTATTTTCCACATATTGGTTAGTTTATGCAGATGAATAGTTAGGACTTTTCTAAGGAGGTACGCTTTCACTACCTTTTAAGGCGAAAAAAAATGTATACGTAAAAATAAACTTTAAAAGGAAGTGATATGTATTATTTAAAAAAGCCAAAAATATTATAATTATTTATAGATGGGTTTTTGGGACCGCTTCCCATAAAACCACCACTAACTAAATACAGCCATTACACATCTTAAATAATATTTATACATGATAAGTTCATTCTAGATTAAATCGCAATATTTTCTGTCGTCTATCTTGCCCGTTTTAAATGGACATTTTAAGATTTTAAGAACGTTTTTTTTTTTTTTTTTTTTTTAATAAACCGGACTTGTTTTGAATTTGCAAATTAAACGGGAAACCCACCGTAAGTTGTGTCACGTAAACACTAATCGGCAAGGCCAAAAGGTCGTCTCAGCCAATAAACAAATCTGAGCTTTTCGAAGATTTTAACATAGACATTACTGAGTGTCTGTCGCCTTCATTTCACTGTTACTAATATACTCAAAAATTCACTTTAGAAACACAATAGTACATTAAATTCTAAATCCAATTTCTTGCCCACGAGCACAAAACGAATAACACCATATTTTTTATGGTTCGAACAATAAAATCCTTGTCTTTTATGTTTTCACTTTAATTTGGGTTCAAGTTAAGTGACTATAATTAATTCCTTTAACAATGAAAATTGTGTCGTCTCAATCGATTCAACGCTTTTGGATTGATTTCTGGAAATTCAATCAGCCAAAACAGTTGTTGCACATCGCTGGATATATAATAACAGCAAACCAACTAACCTTATTGCCCGCGTCAAATTCATTTTTTACGCACTTATATAAAAGTTGGCAAATTAGGTAAGTCTGTAAAGGGCCATTCTTAAATATCTGTAATTTAAAATTACTTTGGGAACAGATTGCAATTTTAAAATATATATATATATAAAAAATAATAATAATTCCTGTCATACAAAGAGGGTTTAACGCCCAACTACCCGGTGGATGTCCAGGGAGTCAAACCATTACTTAATACATTTATCATCTCAATTAAAACACCATGGGCAACGCCGGGATTCGAACCTAGGATCGTTAGCTTGGCAAATACGAGTCGAACGCACTAACCAATCGACCACCGCGGTACTCTAAAATTTGCAATTTATTAATCATTTAGTTTGTATTTTATGACGCTCATAAAAATTCAAGCTTAATTGACAATAAAGTATGATTAAACGGGTTTTTATAGGGTTTCATTTATTAGATAGTACGTCGAATACTTGATTCGTGTCAATATAAATTTTAAAAATCTAGCATTAGTATTAACAAGTATAAATAATTTAAATGAAATTAGTGTCTAGTAAGAGTGTAGAATATTATTAGAACAATTTATTCTATATATTTGATTATTGACTGTAGAAATTTGTAATTTTCGTCAGAATCGAAATACAAATTTCATGTCCACTAGAGGTGATTTAAGACAAACAGAAAACTGTATTTTACACTACAGTGTACATAAGCAACAATTAATTTAAAAATCTGACGAGGTTATTTTTGGCAAGTCCAATGTCGGCAGCTTTCTCAGATAAGTCGTTATGTAGAACATAACATGTCATCCATCGTTCATTCCAACTGTCCAGCCTCATGTAGAGCATAGAGGAGAATGAAGCGTCATGAAAGGGATTGTTTGACGTTGTAAAAGTATGAAATGACAATTTCGCCCAAGCGTGTAACGGGGTCAGACATCAATAGCATTATAGGAATAATTGGGGATTATCGAAAATACTTTCATGTCGAGAAACCGTTAACCTCAAAGAAAAACCCCAATTATTCAAACTATATACGCTAAACTAAAATGTTAGTCATTTATTTTTTGAGAGAAAGACAGGGAAAGGGACGAAGAGAAAGAGAAAGAGAAAAAGAGAGATAAAAAAAGATAAGAGAGTTCGTGATGGTACCCTTAGCATCAACAATAATTTGCAGATAAAAAACAAAAACACTGGCTTTATTTTATAATTAGCAGGTCTATTATATAAAACTCATTCAAGGTAGTAAACTATTGACACAAATTTCCAAGGAGCTTGGTCTTATTAAAGTTCGACAAAATTTCGTCATGGTATTTTTGGTTTGTTTATCGACGTGCAATCTATTTTACCGAATTTCTCTGAAAATCTGGTTTAAGAAGATTGAGAAGTATGTTAATTATAGTGAACGATGATGTGATCCAAATGATCTGTTTCAATTTACGTTAAAGAACCAAAAAGTTAAACATTGGAGATCACAAATCATGTCGATATTTTCCTTTTTCAAAGAATTCAATTGTCTCGTTTTTAAATTTTGAAGTTGAAGTTTGAGTTAGGTCGGTGGGCACAGCACCAAACATGATCTGACTGCAGAGTAGATGAGTGCCAGCCCTGGGGGTGTGCACGAGTCGGCCCTGATACAAGATCCGATTTATCTGAGAGTATGAATCGCTGGGTTATAAACCGGAACAGGCTCGTAAAGAATCGACAGGTCCGAAACTATGAGGCTAAAAGTATGTTGAAAATGTTTGACAAAAAAATTGTTATTTGTCGTACGTGTAATTTGACAGCACGTACAAACCAGTTCCAGGCTCTTTATCTATCCAGTCACGCTAGTTTAGGAATAGGCATTCCGATCTTTCAATTGAATAGTAATGTTACCAGAAACGCTTTTTACAATTCGAACAATGCCAACATGTGCATGAATCAATGTTACACAAATGTGAAACCAACGTGGATTTCTCTACTCTTTATGTTTATGATTCGAAAACTTTCCCATTTTTAAAAACTTTCATAACATTGAATATTTATTACGAAACCGCTTTTTTCTCTTTTTGTTTAAATTGGATTCATATATTTCTTCAAGTGCGAGGAATCTTAAACAAGAAAATTAAGAAAAGAAAAAGCGTGACGCTATAGCAAAGCTACAGGTTTTCTTTAACTAACTAGAAAGATGCCTTGGAAATTAATAAAATAATTAAAAATTATCGTCGTGTAATAAAAGGTCGAGACAGGAAAGCGGATAAGAATGTGAAAGAGTCAATGGACAGAACGGAAATTGAATGGTTTCAAATCAGTGAGCAGCCGTCGCAAGGATAATCTTCAGGACGTTAAAACCTTTTGTTTGCTTTCTGTCAAGGCTATGGGAAAAAAAGGTCATTCTCCGTGAATTTCCCACATAAGAAAACAGTTGGTCGGGATTATAATTCCGTTGTTCATCTCGATTAGGTCGGACTGGTGGGTGGAAATTTTCTGGCAGGTGTGAACGCTTTTCCCCCGGCTGCTTAAGATCCTTCGCATTAATAGCTGCGCCTCACGATCCCCCAAGAGGAGATGAGGTCAACCTAAAGATATTTTACCCGTTCAAGCTCCGTTAAAAGGAAAGTAGCACAAAATATTCGGCTCTAATCGTAGTGTTACTACACCGACTTGCTATTCTAATCCGTAAGGTATTGCAACAAAAATTACTAACCGATCAACCAGAAAGGCATTAGAAAATAAAAATGCTGAACCTTTGTCTATCTTAATATGAACGCAGATTAAGTAGGAAATGCAAAACAGAAAATAGACGTTTACCAATTACAACACTTTAAACCGAAACAATCTGATTGTACTAAATTAATCGAATTCCGATCCCCATCATTTTGCACAGTCAACATTCGCTGTTTAGGCCTTTCAGGTGGATTTAAACTTCTCCCCACGAGCCTGAGTGGACAAGATTGGACAAATGAAATAGAAGAATTAGAAATTAGAAAAAGCAAAAGACA